CAACCAGTACCGGGTCACTCCGGGCTGCTATTTGTATTTATTGTTCTGCAGAAAATCTCCTTTTGTGTACTGCAGAATATCTGTTGCTATTTAAAGTATATTTTATCTTCCTTTGTGTGTACTAGGCTTTGTTTGTGAGAAGTTCTACTACAGATACAGTCATCTTGGCTCTTTTGAGTGTTGTGAATTTACTGGGAGTAAGGAGCGGAGCCCAGGTCTTTTGGCCTACAAGACAAAACTCTTTACAACGGGAACGTGAAACAACACTGAACTTTCAAATACGAGTCTTTCCCCAGTTCTGCACCACAGGTTGTGTGTTTTATTTCATTCTTCTGGTCATGCTTAGTCCTAACGCATGAGGGTGCTTTTATTCAAGCTACAGACTATTAATCACTTTGGGGTCAGGTTTGTTCCAAAAATCTACTTCTTAAAAAAGGCAAAAATTTCTTAAAGCTGTGTATAAATGTAGCAGCTGCCAGAGCCCTGGTAACTTTCAAATCTAGAGCTAATCTAAAAGTGAGAGATTAGCAAATCAGTTCTGATAAAGGCAGAAAACAGATTAGAAATAAAAACTGGGTTCAAGTCCATGTTCCAGTCCTTTGAAACAGGCTTACAAATTAAAAACATACAATTTAGATTAACAACATTTATACAGAAATCTTAGGAGCTGAAGTGTCACAAAACTGACCACAATGTGACTTTTTATCTCTCATCTATGATGTACCAGAAAATCCAAACAAGCAAACAAACAAACAAAAAAAACCCCCCCAAAAAACCCCCCTGAACCAAAAGACGCTAAGTCACCGCATCCCACACGAAGGCTCTGTCTCCTACAAACACAGCTTATCAGTGACTGCTTCAAGGTACCAACGTGGACGTTTAGTATCTTAAACATCAAGTTCAGAAAATTTAGTTTGCTTTTCTTTCCCTTGACTCCCACTACACAGAACAAGAGGCTCTCTGCATCTGCATTTCAATGGAGCACAGCAACCTTGGGCTTCCTTTAAGTCTTCTGAAAGGCGTTTTATACCGTCAGGTCCAAGGCCTTCAGAACACACAGGCTGGGGACATGCTGTATGATTATTACTTGTAAGTGATTCTCTGTCAGATGATTTCCTAGCACCGAGGGCGGTGGAGGCGGTGCGTGTCCGGCTCCAGGGGCAGGGCGGCTC